CTCAGCTGAAGAGGAAGTGGAAAGTAAACATTTGAAAGCAGCAGTGAGAGAGGCTGGCTTGCTCCCTGTCCCAGAGCTCTCCACTTTAAGACCAAGGTCCAGGAACTTTTTAGCCGGGCCTGTACAGCTGTCTGCTGGCTTCTTGCCCCACATCACTCCCAGTGGCACACAGACAGTAAAGCAAAAAACACCACCATCTATGGTCTTTGACAGATGAAAGGGCTGACATTTGAAGGGGGCAGGATTACAGCTTGGACACAGAGAGAGAGGGAGGGGAGAGAGAGGCAGGGATGAATGGATGGATAGATGGATGGAGGGACATCCTGTAGGTTATCAAGGACAGGAGTGCTGTGCGGAGGTGCCTCTGGCCTTCCCATGCAGAAGAGGCATAAGCCCCCTGGTTCCCATCCTTACTGTCCACAGCAGTGGGTGTGCCCCCATTGAAACATGGGCCCAGCACCCCACAGCCCTGCTTCCCAATGGTGGTGAAGCTGAGGGCACTGCAATATGGCAAGGGGGTGATTACAGATGTGGAAACATCTCATTAGGCGAGGTGAATGAACACAGGCTTGCTGCTGGCAGCTGGGTATCCCGCAGGGTTAGGCATTTCTTCCCTTTAAACACACACACAAACCTGCTGTTTTCCATAAACAAATCTCAATTTATACTCTGTTTGGTTTTGGTTTTTTTTTTTGTTTGTTTGTTTGTTTGTTTGTTTTATTCTAGTGGAACCTAGCAAGCGGGGGGAACATTGGCTCTCAGCAACTTACTTTGCTGAATGCTCTGCCAAACAGCAGGGTGATCTGCTGACCACCGTACCCAGACCAGAGGATATGTGATTTTGGAGGCAGCAGCCCTGGATGCCTTCTGCAAGCAAGTATCCGATAAGACAAAACCATAGGAGACTCACAAACCCTTCCTGGCAGAGCCCATGGGCCAGAGCAACAAGCCCCTTTCTGTTGCACCCAGCTGGATCCCACAGCAGGCAGACGTGAGGAAGGTACATCCCAGGACCTCTGTTCAGAGCAGCCCTTCCCAACAACAGCAGTCATTTTCATCCAACGGAAGGAGATTTGAGACGAGAGCAGCAAGTCTGCCAGCATGGAGGAAAGGCTGCCAGACCCCCTCTACTCCCACACTTCAGGTTTCCTGCTTTCCTGCCAGGACCACTCGAATACAGTGTCCAAAATTCCTCATTTTCATGGGGCAACATGAGCAGTTCACTTGCTCTGTGGCACCTCCTCACCCTCCAGCCAGGACAAGGGGATGTGTTGTAAGGGCAGCTAAGCTGTGGCAGTCGGTTGCAGGGTGGCAAGATGATATTTCTGCCCAAAATCTGTCCTGAGGAACAGGACAAGTGTGCTGAGTGGGTGCCAGCGCAGGCTCAGGCTGTGCTGACTTCTCAGGGAGAACATGCTGTACCAAACATTTCTTATTGTATATCTTAAATAAACAAAGCATTTAGCTCACCACCCAGCACTAGGTCATGCTAATAAATGCCAGTAACTTTCTCTGCTTCATGTATTGAAGCTGCATATTCAAGTCAGCTCTGACACCCACCCAGGATGATCAATTTGGACTGAAACTCTCTGCAATTCATTTAAGCTGAGAGTAATCAACTACAGTCAGAAAAGGAAGCTGCAAACAGGATTTGTTGTGCAATGTGACAGAGACTGACCAACCCTTGTAGCAAATCATCCCTTCCGTTCCTCTTTGGGGAAAGACTCACTGACAGGTTCAGAAGTGCTCCAGGACATTCCTCTCTCCAAAGAAACCTTGCTACCACTCTCAGCTTTGACTCAAAACCCATCAACATTTCCACCTGGTAAATCACAACACACCCCTTCCATCACCATGCCTCTCCATGGCAGGGCAGAGCTGGTGCAGCCCCAGCCAAAATCCAGCTGTTGCTCATCAATTCATCTCGCCGTACTTGCAGAGCAAGCAAGACACTAAGCAACCACACACCCTCCCAGTGTCCCTGCCAAAACTGGGTGAGTTGCTCTAGGGCACAGCCCCAGGCCAGGCGCAGGGGGCTGGGGGTGCTGAGGCTGGCCTGAGCAGGGGTCCCGGGCTCTCTGCCAAAGGGCTGCAGGGCTCCTGGCTGGGACAGGCTGACGGTGTTTGCCAGGAGTGCCTAAGGGAACACAGGGCTTGCAAAGGACAAGGGTGGGAGGGGAAATTGGGGTCTAAGAGAGAGAGGCTATAGCACTGCACAGCTATCAGAATCATTTGCAAATAATCAGCCAAATGTTCTCTTGAAAGGAAAAAAGTAGCTTCTAAACTTGCAAGGAAAAAATTTACTTAAATTTTTGTCTGCATTCTTTTTGTGGTAAATTTTGAAAAAATAAACACAACACACTGAAACTGTGAAAAACCCCACATTTTCCATTAAAAATCCCGGAAAAAAAATGCCATTAGAAACTTGAGCATGATGGAAGAAATTCATAGATCTCAACATTATTTAATTTGCTTTTAAAATAAAGCAAACCTCTTGATACAGCACCTCAACCACTTCCATCTCAGGTTCCTCTCCAGACAGAATATTTTGAATGTTTGTTTAACCATGCTACTCAAATTCATGACCTATTAGAGGTACAAGGCAGATCTGGCAAACAGAGATGTCACACTGCTGAGCTCACAGGGTCACTTGGTTTGTCACTCTTGCAGAATATGACCTCCAGGGTAGACTTCTTTTGAAACTGCATTTTGAAAGAAGGAATTTTCCTCCCCTGTCAGTTTTGCCTCCCATTTAATACTTTTGTTTTGTTTCCCTGTTTCTAAGAGAATAACACTGAGTGCAGCTGCCTCAGCCCGGGCGACCAGTCTTTCATCCCTGCCCTCCAGCTGCAGCCGTGGAAGATGCTGCATCGCCGCTCTCTCCTCAGGAAAGCTTTGTCCTCATTTTCTCTAGCCTCTCACAGGTGTAAATGCAACTGGAGCTGGATTTCAGGTTCCTGTAGTATTCCCGTATCTGCACAGGTCTGCACAGCAGGCAGAAGGCATGACACTTGTTACAAACTGTTCTTTTTGAGCAGGTCCAACCTGTTGTGTAGAAAACATGCCGTCTGTGCTTATGCTCAGGATGGGTACACCTGAAGCACAGGTACCACTGGGGTCAGAGAGTGTAGTTTAGCTTTTGCTTTGAGACTGTGAAGATGCCAGTTAGTGGCAGAGTTGTGTTCACTACTGACCTATATTGCAGCAAAGGTAAAGAGCCCCCACAACCTCTTGTTATTCCTCTGAGCCTGCTGCTTTGAACACCCAGTAATTTTCTTAGTATGGTGATTTCTTTTGCTGTAGCGTGACTGTGTTGTTGTGCTCATTGCTAAGCAATTAACTGTTTGTCCTTCCAGAAATATCCACCACCCCAGATGCTATTAGCCCCTCGGAAAATTTTCAACAAAAACATTCCAGGGGAGACGCATTAGCGGCTCTTCCACTTTCTGGGACAAGCATCCCTCCAGCTACATTCCCCATTGCAGAACACCAGACCAGGACAGGGAAAAATGGTTATTTGTGGTCAAGCCCCCGTTTTGCCAAGTTCTGCACAAACTTATCATCTTGCATGACTCTGAGACTGGCGCGTTTCTTGCACAATCCCATTTTCACTCGCACCGGTGAAGAAGCTTACCCCCACCCTAACAGAGCAGGATGGCTCCTACACCAGCTTCCCACGGCTTTCAGGCACCAGCCAGTGTTGGGACTTCCAGGCAGGCCAGACTCCTCGTTACCCAACTGGCAGGTATAATTTCTGACCTGTGGACACGAAACTGCTAATGCAAGCCTCAAGAGTAACTTGTCAGAGAGAATTTCCTGAAGCTAATGATCTTTCAGCCACCCTGTGTCGCCCAGCCTGGGGACAACCTGCTGGCAATGGATCAAGGTGCTGACAGATCCCTCTTTTAGATCGAGCTTATCAAACATGATCCTTTCTGAAGGGTCCAAAAGGACCAGTATCTCTCCAGCAAAAGAAAATTTCAAATAATCGTCAAAAATTACCTCAAAATAGGATTAGTATTTGTCAAAGACTTCGCCCCGCTCTCCCTTCTTTTATTTACAAACGGGTAAACCCCAACACTGAGATGCGGGTAAGTCTTACAAGTCATACTACGGTTTTGCTTCTGGGTGTCAAGACAGGGTCACTTAGGCTTTCTCTACACAGTACCCCAAAATTACAGTAGTAATCGACATTTGAAATGCAAAAAAGTCTGGACATCAGCAAGTCCTTTCCCCCAAGGCTGCTGGACTCAGCATGCCCATGTAGCAGTGGGATGCAGCATGTTCAGCTCCTGGGGCATTACTGTCAAAAGTGACCACACTGAATCAAAGCAAACGTCTGGCCTGCAAACCTGTTACCTGTTGTGAGAAAGGTATAAAAACATGCATGTGGTTGTACTTTCCCCCAAGAATGCGCTCCTGTCTCCAGCAGTTTGTAGAACTATGCCTCCACCTGTTCTCAGGATCCCAGGCCTGAGCAAGCAGGAGGTGTATTTGATGCATTTTACATACGACATCTCTAGCCATATTTTTTTTTAATTATATATCTATATAAAATAAAGGTCAAAATATTTTCATACAGATAGGTACAGAAGTATCTGCACTGCTTTATTCACACATTCTCTAGTGAGAAACTCTTTTAGAAAATCAGCTTAGGGTATAATACTCAGCACCTACACAACTGCAGCTATTGTGCAATAGTCCTTTGGTATATTTTGTCTTTTTGTGTTACGCTAAACACTCGCCTGATCTCAGCCATGCACAAGCTGGTATTTGAAATGCCATCAATATATCTTTGCCAGAATCTTCCGCCATGTAAAACCTGAGCGCTCATTGTGGCAAGGAAGGAAGAATAGATCCTCATTTATGAGAAAACCAGGTTCTCCTTCAAACAGCTGGTGAATGAATGGGCACAAAAGGAAGGGAACAGGAGAGAGGAGTGTCACCACTGCAGGGACAGCCAGCTCCACTGACGTCACCCCACATCATGCCCCCAGTGCCTACAGCAAAGACTCAGGCCCCCCTTCCCTGGCCACAGGGGTCTCAGCATCTCTGAAGCAGCTCCCTTTCCTCAACGAAGAGCTCTCTCGATGGCTGTTGAACTGAGAAACTCGTCGCTTAAACAAGCGATGGAGCTTCTCCTGGAACTGGTTCCCGATAAAACAGTACAGCAAAGGGTTGATGCAGCTGTTGGCGAATGCCATGCAGATGCTGAACGGCAGCGCTGTGTCAATGATCGCTGTCACGTCACAGTTGTTAATGATGTTCATATGAGCCAAGGCATCCAAAAACGTTAAAATGTGGAATGGGAGCCAGGAAATTAAGAAGGCCACAACAACAGCAGCCACCAGCTTCAGGACTTTGTCCCTCTTTTGCTTGGTTTTCCCAAACTCCTGTGCTTTGAGCAAGTGCCTCCTGATCCAGATGTAGCAGGTGGTGATTGCTGTCAAAGGGATGAAGAAGCCAAGTGCATTTTTCAGGAAGGCTGCTGCCACAGACCATTTTGCATAATTCTCATGAGGAAAGGCCATAATGCAAGCATTGACCCTCAAGCTCTCAATGTAGTGAGTGTCACGGAAATAAAAAGTTGGGAGGGAGGACAAACAGGCAAGGCCCCACACCACCAGCGCTATAAAATAAGCTTGTCGTGGCGTTCTTCTTTGAGAGCGAATAGGATGGACAATAGCATGGTATCGGTCCATGCTCATGCACGTAATGAAAAATATACTTGCAAACATGTTCAAGCACAGGACAGAGCTGGAGATTTTGCACATGAGAGATCCAAAGACCCAGTTGTACCTCTGCGCGTAGTAGGTAGCCCAGAAGGGAAGGGTGGCGAGGCACAGCAAATCCGCCATGGCGAGGTTGAAAATGTAGATATTAGCGACTGTTTTGGGGCCACTGTGATGGCAAAGCACCACAACCACCACACTGTTGCCAATCAACCCCAGAACAAACACCACAGAGAAGAGGGGTGGAATTAATGAGAACTGATAATCTGAAGAGGTAAGTGGACAGGGAGGGGGTGAGCGCAACACAGCTGATGAGTTTGTCAGTGCTGTATAGAGGACTTGGAGAGTTTCTCTGGTAGTGATGACCAGGGAGTAGTTGCTCTGCATATTGGTGCTGGTGAAAAAGGAGGTTCTGCAGGAAATTCATATGCTAGCAGCACTTTTCTATCACATTGCTCACCTGTGGATCAGAAACCATGTGTTAGACGTGCACTCTGCAGCCATCTTAACTCTGCAATGACACAGTCACAATAAAATAAAAACCATTTAAAATTATATCAGTAAGCTGAGTGCTGAAATACCAGGCAACCCTGCTGGACTCCTTTCCTCTGCCCCACTGACAGGACACAATTAGCCCTAGGGAAGTCACAGCACTTTTTAATTAGCCTGGCAGAGAAGCGAGCAGCTGGGTTTTATCTGTGATTATATATGGTACTTTCTGGGGCTAGCAGAGCAGAAAGATTATTAACTCGGGAGCTGGAGATGCTTTGGGAATTTCTGGGACCAAAGGCAGCACCAAAGATCCTTCTGATCCTTTTCTCAGCTTTCTCCTACTATTTCCAGCACTCTACACAGTTAAAATAATGTAGAAAGGCAGCACTGGCCAGTGGGGATCAGATACTTCACACCTGAGGGTCTCCTGGGACTTCACAGGCTGAAAGCAGCCTTTTAACAAGGCTGTTAGGAAAGCAAGCTTTGACCTTTTTTTTAAATTCAGAGGGCTGCATACAAAGACATTGAAGAGCCTTTGCAAAATGTCATTTACCGTCAGAGTCCTTCTCAGAGCACATCTGCAACTCCTGCCCTCACGACAGCTTTTAATCAGAAGAGTAGAAGAAATATTTTCAATGTAAGATACAAGCAATAGATGATCAAGTACTCAGTCCTTGCAGGCATTGGATTTAACAGTAATATTTGCCATTCATTTAGAAAGATCAGGACTGGGTTTCAGTAGGGGAAAATGTAGCTACAAAACAGCTAAAATAGGAGAATTACTTGACAGGTCTGTCTTTGTCCCAGTTCAACAGCTTGTGTCTGCACACTAGGCAGGGCATTTTTCAAACTTTAGGACTTTCTAGTCAATAAAGAATATATCATACCCAAATATTTTATTCCACATAATAGAAAGACAATTCCTTTTTAATTAAGTCCTTATGAAACCAATCAAGCATTTAAGAATTCACAAGGAGCCCTAAAAACAACATAAATTTTGACCAAGACAAGACAACAGAGTTGGGTACTGATATCTTGTTTTACAGAAGACAACTGATAATTTCAAATGTATTTTTCTGTATTAACAGTTTAGTGTACTATAGCTTATCATTTGCTCAATGCAAAATATGCAATATGCTACTTCAAATATACTGACAAAAATTTAATTTTAATTATATTGTCTCAACAATGAATATTCAATAGGAGAATATTAATGCACAGTTCTGCAGAGTGCCAACATTTAAAGTCCCAAATACGGGATCACAATCCCACATTCTGTAATCAAATAGGTCTTAAACCAGAGGAAATCTTGTTTGGGCAGGACAAAGATTCAGAGAGGGTCTGGAGCCCCATTTTGCCCTTAACTCTTGTGTCCTGAACCCTTCACTTTAACCTACAAAAGCTGAGACCTCAGAACTAGTCGCAAGGCGTTAAGTATCCGACTTACTCCTAGTAGAGGGATCACACCATAATTAATTTTAGCTACATTACTGAGAACAAGGTTTCATTGACGAACACGCCCCCCCCCCCACATATGAACAACTGGTGTCTTAGAATCTGCTTCTAAGCTAGCTGTTCCTACTATTACTTAAGACACAATGAGGCATTTTATCACAAATTGAATCAAATCAATGGAAATTATGTTCTAACAGCAGATAGAAAACATACCTCTCAAACCTCTTGTTTGTCTGGATGTAGCTCTAGAATTACGTGCTCCTTTTTCCTATTTTCCTGCTAGCGAGTATCACCACCAGCGATCTGCTCTCTCATATCTTCCATTTTCCCACTGGGAGACTTTAACCTACATAACTTGAGAGCTAAATCATGAACGCCTGCCAGCTTCTTTTCCTTTTGGAAGCAAAACAGTTTGAGAACCCCCCTTTCCAAGGCCACGTGAGCACATGCAGTAAATCAGGAGAGAGGAACAAGACAACCAAAAAAAAAAAAAAAAAGAAAAGAAAGAACGAAACAAAAATGAAATTGACACAAATATCTATGCGGGTTTCTACTGCAGCTCTTGGGCCAGGAGCATACACTCACATGCAACCCCCTTCTGCCTCCCAGGTGTACACGCAACATGAGCAAACCTCCATGCAAGGATTCGTGCATCATTGAGGGCAGGGGGATTCCCATGCACTCTGTGGAGTCCCAGCACTTGCTAACACATTTGAGAGTGGAATAGGCTGTTAGTCCTGGCAGAGCTGACCATAATGCAAACACACAGAGACAAAAAGCAGAGGAACATCACAGAATTCACGCCAGCATTGCCTATGTAGATGGGCTGGTCCTGCCTCCCAGTGAGTAGGATGGGAAAGCCACTGCTGAACTACTTGCAAAAACACACACACTGCTTAAACCGAGAAGGGCAGCGGGACAAATCCACGTGGCAGAGAGCAGGCTTGGCTCTGAGGCTGCACTGCGGTAGCACACAACCCAAGCAAATAGATCAGCAAGGCTGCGTGCTCACACCGACTTCCCATTCACATGAAACTGATTTTTTACATCTGCTTCTTCTTCGTGTCACATGCTCTGCCTGGCCCCAGCCTCCTCTCCCTGGAAGGAGCTCCAGGGGGGCTGCTGGAGGATAAGAACTAGGGCAAAGTGAGCATCCGTAAGCCTTAAACATTTTGCTCTGACGTCTTGAGTGTGATCTCCTCTGCAGCAGCCCATCTACTGTGCTGCCCAGGCAAGGCTGCACGTGCCAGATGGAAGGCAACCCCAGAAGTCCCTGCCAGGGACATGTTCCTTTGCCCCAGCCAGGTGCTGCTGGCTAGCTGTCCATCACCAGCCAGAGCTGGACCCAAGCTCATCCCGTTCTTTGAACACTGGCGCAGCCTTGCAGCGAGGAGTGTCCAGCGGCGTCCAGCCCCAGTGCCTGCCCTTGTTCAGGGATTGTGCAGCACACCAGAGGCAGCAGGCATCACAGCCTCTATAACCACCTCTGCTTACAGCAAGGTGACCCAGAAGAGAGATAAAGGAGGGAAAATAGCCTTTTACCAGCATCTTCAGAAGAACCAAGGGCTGAGCAGGCTGTGGAGAACAAACTCACCTTTCTGCCCAGCTTTGACCTGGAAAGAGTCGCAGAGAGTGCTGGAAAGGCTCATCAGCAAACTCATATACATCGCCTGGAGGAAAGCGCTACTTCTCAAGGCAGCGAGAGGAGTCCTTGGCAGCTTTTGGCTTTACCTGCCTCATATTAAGAGTCCAGCTGTCGGGCATTTTCTGTGCAAAAGGAGACTGCATTATTTAAAGAAGCAGAACCCCACACAGCATTTCTATTTATCACAGTCCAGCTGATTTACTGATTCACAGACACAACAACAAAGCAGTCAGTGGTCAGGACTGTCAGGCTGCAAGCACGCACAGTATCTGTGCTTGGGACAAAACTGGAAGGGAAAGCAAGCTCAATGAAATGGCATGCTGAGAGCAGATAACACAGAAACAGACCCGAACATCACAGGTATCTCGAGGGAGGGTAATAGCAAATCACTGCACAGGATGGGAGACCTCATCTGTCCCAAAGGTCCCAAAGGCTCAGGTGACTGCATGTCACAGACACAGTTAGACAACATACACGTCAGCACAGATATATATAAACCTCCCCAATGCACACACTTATTCATTTCATAAATGTTTAATTTTATTTTGGGTCATCCCTTCCCCTTCCTTTTCCCACTTATTCCTCCTCACCCTCATTTGAGGTTGTCATGGAAAAGGCAGAGGAGGAGGTGAAAAACCCTGGAACTGCTGAAATTTGCATTCCTCAACAGAAAATACAGAAATTTTGTAAAGGAAACTGTAACATCCGTAACAGCTTGGGAGCTGAAAAAGACAAGGCTTAACCAAAAAGCTTTACGATGAAGATTTACACTCAGTTCCCACACACTACAACTACTACCGGGAGACTTGTTGTTTTGTTCAAGAAGCATTAAACAGACGATGCACCCTCTAGAGACGTGCTGCTAGAACCCTGGCCCTTCTTCAAACCAAACATCTACCAAGCAGGTCAGTGGGAGCACGCGGGATGTGTAAGTGCAAAGGTTATGTGTCCTACCGCAGAAGAGAAGAAATGCACCTTCTGCCACCAGCCCCCTGTACACACCCTGCCTCGGGACCAGAGAACTGCTGGCTGGCAGGTGACTGACCTGAGATGGCAGGACTCACTCTGAACCATGTTGATTTGATTTTTTACTAACTGTGTGTGACAGGACACCCTCAGCCTTGCTGCTGGTTGCTTTGCACAGAAATAACCAGTGAAAGGTCTTGCTTCATCCTTCATCAAACATCCAGCGTGCTTTGTAAGCAGCAGAAGTCGCATACATGAGAATGTTTATTTTGCAAAGATAACAAACACAACTTGTTTAGATTTAAATATAACATTTTCCTTTCCGGATATACTTTTGATCCTTGCAGATACTGACTGTGTCTATTCTGTTCTACTTCCAAAACTGTTTGAAACTGTGTGCTGGGTCCATACCAGAGGGATGGGCCTGATGTACCAGGTGCAATGGGGGTCATACCTTGGGCTGCCCTTCGCCAAATCCTGCTCCCATTCTTCCCCCTGCCAGTGCTCAATGCATCCAATTCCTTATCTGATCCCAAGTTCTCACTCCAAAGCTTCATTTAGGCAATGTACAAAACCCCTCCCTCTTCTATTCCCCCTACTATTTCTGAGCATTGCCGGCACAAACGGCTGTGAAAGAGAACTATTTCTGAGCATTGCCGGCACAAACTGCTGTGAAAGAGAAGGAACATGGGATACGGACACACAGGCTGTCCCTGCACAAGCCAGCCTCCTGCCATGTAGTGCTGCAGCCGAACTAATGCCCCCCGAGCTTGCAGAGCACATTCGTCCAGCTTCCACAGCCAGGCTGGTAAATCCAGCACATGGACCT